CGTTCTACCGCCCCCCTGAAAAATGAAATCGCCCCCTGGGGGGCATTATTGCCCACGTTAAGAACCACTGCTCTATAGGATATAGATATAGAGACTATCATGCCATTATATAATTGTGCCTTGCATGGCTAAAGGTAAGCAATAGCATCCTGACAGTAACAGGCCACTGTTATTCTCCAGATGTGTTTACTTTCTCTTAACAGTTCAAGTAAAGAAAAGTTAAATACAGAGATCCTAATTGTGATTGTTCCACTCCTGCCTCTCCAAATCATTTATTCTGTTCCATCTTTTTTTTCTTCTTCTTCCTTGTACACTAGGCATTAGTTAATTTCTCAGACTTCCAGATTTTTCAAGAGTTGATCAAAGGGAAAGAAGATGATACTTTCTACAAGAACTGCGTGTCTCAGATGCTGAGGCTGGTCACAGAGGAGGGCTGCATGACACAGAAACAGGTCCTGGCCTTCTTTGGGCAGCGCTTCAGGGTGAAGCTCAACCTCCCTGATTGGTACCCCAGTGAACAAGTTGGAGAGTTCCTTTTCGAGTATGTGCCAATATAAGCGTGATCTGAGTTTTTGCCGCACTGCAAAAGGCACTCATTCACTACCATTCTACTGAGGGCGGCTGTTTTTGTTGATACTTCCTCAGGCAATGCATCTGCATTCATCTGAAAACCAAGGCTGAGAAGTTCTACTTGCTTTGCCTCATGACCCGGAAGCTCTTCACTTTAGCCAAAGATGGCTGCATGGAGGAGAACCCTGATAGCCTAATGAATCAAGAGGTGTTAACTTCAGGAGAACTTTACCTCATGTTTTTAAAGGTAATACTTTATTGGTGGCTGTCACTCTCTCAGTTCTCAAAATGTCATCATCATCTTAGAACTGCAGAGCTGGATCATCAAGTCCGGCCACTAGAGGGGCGGGGAAAAATCTAATAAATAAATAAATATTAAGGAGTCACAGTGGGGATTCAAACTCCCAGCCTCTGGCTCCACAGCCAGATACCTAAACCACTGAGCTGTCCAATATATAGTCAGACCTCTGTTGTTTTCCATCTAATAGTCACCTACAGTCCATGCTGCTGTTTTTTTCCCTGTACATTGTAAGATACAGTGGTGCCTCGCACAACGAGCGCCCCGTAGAGCGATGAATTCGCTCTACAGGGACGTTTTTTCGTTGTTTTCCATCTAATAGTCACCTACAGTCCATGCTGCTGTTTTTTTTTCCTGTACATTGTAAGATTCACAAGATGCCCCCACCTCATTTCTTATTCTACTGTCACATCAAGCATCTTGAGGGACGTTTTTTCGATCGCTAATGCGATCGCAGAGCGACGGCCCCAATGGGTGAAAATCACAGAGCGAACTGCTTACCGACCGTCGCTTTGCGACCCGCCGATCAGCTGTTCCGCGGCTTCAAAATGGCCGCCGGAAGCCCCAAAATGGCCACGCGCAGCATTTTCGCGCCCTCATTAAGCGAGGGTAGGGCGAGAAAATGGCTTCCGGCCATAGAGGAACATCGCTGTATGGTGAGTAAATCAGCCGATTGGAACGCATTAAACTAAGTTTAATGCATTCCAATGGCTTTTTTCTTTCCGTACAGCGATGTTTCACACAGCGAGGGTTAATCTGGAACGGATTAACCTCGCTGTGCAAGGCACCACTGTACACAAGATGCCCCCACCTCATTTCTTATACTGTCACATCAAGCATCTTGCAGTTCCCACAGATTTTCTGGACTGTGAAAGTGCCCAGTGCTTCTCTGGATAAACTGACTTCACTGGATCAATCCCCAGCAAGGACTGGTGACTGCCCTGTAGAAAGAGGGGAGCTGGGAAAGTAACTTTTTTTTTTGACTGCATGGCCCAGAATCTCCCTGGTAGAATTTTTCAGGCTGATGCTTCCAGGCTCCAGCCAGCCAGCGTGACCATTATGGGAATTCTGGAGCTTCAGTATGCTAAAATAATTATCAAATTCTGAGAACTTCTTTTTTCCGGCTGTGTTGCTTTGCTCTTTTCTCCTCATTTCTGTATGACAGTCTGCTGTGTACTCCCTTGTTGACAGAACAAATCCCCAGCGAGGACTGTGACTCTTATTATTAAGTTGAGCAGTTTATTTATTTTATTTATTTATTTAATTTATATGCCGCCCACACTACCCAAAGGTCTCTGGGCGGCTTACAGCATTTAAAATACAATAAAATTCTGTAATGGTGAACATACAGTTTAGTGTATGGAGGAGTGCTTGGGTTTTAGTGACTGCCCTGTAGAAAGAGGGGAGCTGGGAAAGTAACTTTTTTTTTTGACTGCATGGCCCAGAATCTCCCTGGTAGAATTTTTCAGGCTGATGCTTCCAGGCTCCAGCCAGCCAGCGTGACCATTATGGGAATTCTGGAGCTTCAGTATGCTAAAATAATTATCAAATTCTGAGAACTTCTTTTTTCCGGCTGTGTTGCTTTGCTCTTTTCTCCTCATTTCTGTATGACAGTCTGCTGTGTACTCCCTTGTTGACAGAACAGAGGAGAGCTTTTGCTGTCGCTGTCTAGCGAAGTTGCTCCCTTTTCCTTAGCAAAAGGAAGATCCGGCAGTATCTCAAAGGACTTTTTTGGATATAACGTCAAGCTATGCACTGCATGAAAAAGTCCTTAAAGGCCTGCCAGCTTGTGTCCTCCAATTGCGCCTCCTTGGCTTGCAGCAGGCCTTTGAAAGGAGTCACATAGCCCCTTCTCTCCCTCCTCTCGTGTGCTTGAACTTGGTACCAGGTGCTCTGGCACACATATGTGCCGTTGAGACTTGCCATGGAATTCCCAAAGCAGATGTTCCATTGGCAAGGTATGTAACAAGATTTTGCTTCTAAGGAATCAAAAGACATTTGAGGTAGGCCTTGGAGCTGGATCAAATTACTCATTTGACCTATTAATAGGGATTTGTTTTGTTTTGTTTTGTTTTTTCAAATTTTGAGATTCGCATTCTCAGCATTTGCCCATAGTCTCCCTGATAGAGTCTGAGTCGGAGCCCCAAAACGGCTGTAGAACAGCTTTATCTGCGTGCTTTGGAGTTGCCATGAAAGACAAGATGTCGCCCTGGAGGACCCTGGGAGTCATAATGCTACCTGGGATTCCCAAGGGTTCCTGTGAGGGGTACTTCTGAGGGAGGCTGTAGACCCTAGTGAGCATCACTATTCCCGTGAAACCGTATGAGTCCCAGAATGTTCTGGCACAGTTTCGTTGTCTTTCAAAGCAACTCTAAAACACACATACAGGAGAGACATAGAGGTAGGGAGATCCGCTTGGCAGGCACCTGTTTTGGTGTTCCCGCATGCAGAATTCAGACTGGTCTCTGGTCTTGTTCACTGCTACTTTCAGCTATGCAGCCTGGCTCTGTGTGTGTGACTGAGAGAGTGTGGCCCTAAACAGAAGGAAGGCTGACCTCCCCAAGGTAGTGTATTCAGTCTAGGTTGCTAAATGTGTACAATTGCTACGTTGTTTTGATAATTTAACGTTGTGTTCAGAGAGGAAGGGCCGTGTCCCAGAGACATTCTGATAGCGGGAGTCCCGAAAATCCAAAAGTCTCATCCATAACTACAAATCCCATCTGGCTGAGGCCTGCCTGGAGCTGGAGCTCACTTCTAAGGAATCCAGAAGCATTTGAGACAGGCCTTACGGCAGCATAAAATGACTTTTTGAGCTACATATTCCATGCTGACTGGGGATGTTTGAAACTGTAATCCAAATTCAGTTTTCTGAACTCTGATCCTAGTGAAAACTTATTTTCTTCATTCTCCCTGTTGGTGCAGAGAATTTTTTTAGCTCACAGAGGTTTGGGTGATAACCATGTCATCTCACAAAAATATTTTCTGTCTGAATCCTTTTGTCCTGGTTTCATCCTGTATCACAGGAGAAGATGGAAGGCTGGCTGCAGTCTATTAAAATAGTCTTAGACAAGAAAGCACAGAAGTCAAATATAACAACTATTAATTCAGAAAACATGATGAAGATCCTAGGCATGGGAAATGACCTTACAAGGCTGCTGGAGTATCTCCTTGCTACTGGGAACTTGCGCTCTAAAACAGGTAAGGATGGCAGAAAGCTTTCATGCAGTTTTAGGTGAGTTTCGTTTGGATGAAATCCTGTTGGGCTCAGTGGAGGTTGCTTATGTGTGTGTTGTATTCCTAGGAAACTGAACGTGGTTACTGACCATTAGGTAAAACCAGGTATACTCTGACAAGTCCAAAACCGGGTGGATAGATAACTCTGGGTGTATTGGCTTTTCTGTTAGGCAGAGGGAGGCAACTGCTTTAGGTGCCAAGTGGCGGGAAGCAGCAGTGGCCCTCCTCCAGCCTTTCCTTCAGAGTCCTCCAGGCATTTGCCTTTCTTTAAGGACAGAGCTGTACAGGCCACTCATCCTGTCCTGCACCTCTTAAACTAGCCTGCTGCCCTGAACTGCAACAGAAGGCATTATCACTTTTCCAGGTTTAAAGCAAAATTTTGCTACAAAGTACAGTGGAGGTGGGAACCATCTTTTCAGTTGCCTTAAGGTAAAGGTAAAGGTTCCCCTTGACATTTAGTCCAGTGGTGTCCAACTCTAGGGGGCAGTGCTTATCCACATTTCCAAGCCATTGAGCCAGTGTTTGTCCGAAGGCAGTTTCCGTGGTCATGTGGCCAGCACAACTAGACACGGAACACCATTACCTTCCCACAGAGGTGGTACCTATTTACTTGCATTTATAGTACATGCTTTCGAACTGCTAGGTTGGCAGGAGCTGGGAGAAGCGATGGGAGCTCACTCTGTTGCGTGGATTCGATCTTACAATTGTTGGTCTTCTGACCTTGCAGCACAGAGGCTTCTGCAGATTAACCTGCAGTGCCACCACGTCCCTTCAATTGCCTTAGGCTGTAAAATTTCTTCATCTGCCCCTGCTTCCATCTAAAGGAGTTCCCTTCCTTAACACCCAACTTTCTCCTATTGGATACTTTCCTGAAAAACAACTACTGTATTAGAAGGTTAAAATTGATGGTGTTTCCCCATTTCCCAGGTTTGGGGATGCTGCAAGGTTCCGGGCTGTGTGTGATTGCAGACAAGCTGAACTTTGTTCGCTACCTGTCCCACTTCCGTTGCGTGCATCGAGGTGCTGATTTTCTCAAGATGAGAACCACAACGGTGCGCAAACTGCTGCCGGAGTCCTGGGGCTTTCTTTGTCCGGTCCACACCCCAGATGGTGAACCTTGTGGTCTGATGAACCACATGACAGCCCCATGTGAAATAGTAACCCAGTCCCTATACACAGCCTCCCTGCCCCCTTTGCTTTGCTCTTTAGGTGAGTATGGGTCAATTTCAACTCTGCCAACAGCTTTGAGCGTCTTTGTATATTGTGTGGTAACTTCTACCGTACATTTTGCTCTAGGTGTCACTCCAGTTGATGGTGTGCCAAGCCAACCTTACTCCAATTGCTATCCAGTTACTTTAGATGGGTGTCTAGTGGGCTGGATAGAGAAGGATCTGGCTCCTGACCTTGTAGAGACACTCAGGCATTTTAAGGTAAGTCTTGCCAGGTTGAGCTATTGCAAGTGATTCCTTTAAAGAATTTCTTGCAGTGTTTTGATCATTAAGTTGTCCATAGTGGTGTTCATCCAATGGAATTAGATACCTGTATTTAGTACAAACTGGTTGAAACCAGCTGTTTTCACCTGAAAAAATATACCTGGCAGACTCCTGCTATGACAATTTTGGGACATCCATTTATTATTTCTCTGCACTCTCCATAAGAAATTGGTTCATGCCTGAAGAAGTGAATTTATTCATGAAAGCTAGTGCTGAATGTTTGATTCTGAATATCTAAATAAAGGTATCACTTCTCTTACATTTGTATTGTGTAAAGGACCACAAGGCTCTCTCTCCTATATGATACTCATTGAAGTTGCTCGGTTTGAACATATAGCTTTCCCTCTTCATAGATGGTTGTGAACCAGTATGCACTATTTTATCATTCTCATTTTAGTTCAAGTGTATATTTTTAAAGCACCTGTTTTGCTTTTGATGTATGCCAATAGACAATGCAGGAGAAGAAAATTCCAGTTTGGACCGAAGTGGTCCTTATCCCCATGACAGGCAAACCCAGCCTGTATCCAGGACTCTTCATTTTCACTACTCCTTGCAGAATGATGCGTCCTGTACGAAACCTGTCCCTGGGAAAAGAAGAATGGATTGGCACAATGGAACAGGTAACCATGTATATATTGGCCATAAAGTGATGGCTGATCTTAGGAACACTTTTAATGTTGGTCTGGGCAACCTGTGGTCCTCCTCCAGATTGTATGTGATCCTTAACTTCAGAAGCTTTCTTCTAGTAATCAAAGCAAAGTATGCTGCTTATATACTGTCCAGCAGCAATTTACAGTCTTATTACGTAGGCTATACAATCCCCGCCTCCCCCGGAGCTGGAAACTCAATTAACTGACCTTAGAAGGATGGAAGGCTGAGTCAAATTTGAGCTGGCTACCTGAACCCATCGAGATCAATCTCAGGTTGTGAGCAGAGGCTTGACTGCAATACTGCAGTTTAACCACTGCACCACAAGGCTTTTCAATTAGTACAGATGTCTCACAAGTACAACCTAGCAGTTCGAAACCATGTAAAAATGCAAGTAGATAAATAACTGCCATCACAGTGGGAAGCTGACGGTGTTCCGTGTCTAGTCATGCTGTCCATGTGACCACGGAAAATGTCTTCAGAGAAATGCTGGCTCTACAGCTTGGAAACGGGGATGAGCACTGCGCCCTAGAGTCGGACACAACTGGACAATTTGTCAAGGGGAACTTCCTTACCTCGCAAGCACAATTTCACCTTCTAGCACTCAGGGTTAGAGGAGAAAGCAGGGAATGGGAAAGAGTGAGTGAGAATGCAAGAGGAAGGTACCAGGAAGAGAGCGAGAGGTCTTGAGCAAGGGAAAGAAGTTCTAGGAAGAGTGAAAGGAAAGAAGAGAATGAGGGAGAAGGTGGTGGTAGAGAGGGGGATGATGTTTCTTTTGGTCTGGGCTCTTGTCTTGCTCACTGTTGCTTTCAGCTATGCAGTCTGCCTTTATATACGACTGGGAGAATGAGGCCCTGAACAGAAAGAAGGTTCTCCACCCCCACATTAGTGTATTCAGTTAGTCGTATTCCAACTAGGTTGCTAAATGTGTTTTGCATCACTACTGTATGTGATTTTTGGGACCTTAACACTGTGTTCAGATGGGAGAAGGGGCCATGTCTCAGAGGTAGCAGGACGACAAGGTTTGCATGCAGAAGTTCCAGGATCAGTCCCCAGGTAGATCTGAACGCCTGAAGATCCCTGCCGGTTGGCAGAGATAATCATTTAATTTCGATGGGCTGTTCATCTGAACCAGTATGAGGCAGTTTCCTATGCTTCTGCTCAGCCTTGCAATTTTCTATATAGTTTTCATCTTTCGATAATTATAGTTGTGTGTTGTCAAGTCAATTCTGACTAAAGTTGGCCAAGGCTACACAGGCTGGCTCTTCTCCCAGTAGGCACAGTGGGGAATCGAACCCCCAACTCTGGCTTCACAGCCAGATGCCCAACTCACTGAGTTATCCAACTAACTCTTTTAAAACCGCTCAGAAGAACAGATACTTACATTAATTTTCCTGCTTTTTGTTCATGGGAGCTGGAGGGGAACATCATGGGTTTGATAGTCTGTAAAGGGAGTTTGTGAAAGTGATGGGAAGTGGATCTTCTTTGTCCTAGGTCTTCATGAATATAGCTGTGTCTGAGGATGAAATTGAACCTGGGCTGACCACTCATCAGGAGCTCTTTCCCCATAGCATGCTAAGTGTGGTGGCGAGTTTCATTCCCTTCTCTGATCACAACCAGAGTCCCAGAAATATGTACCAGTGTCAGATGGGTAAGTGGCAGTTATACTGGTAGTGAACTTCCTCTCACAGCATGGACCCTGTGTGTAGCCAAAATGTCACCGTCCAAGCTGACCCCCAGCCAGGAGGGTGGGGGGAGCGTCCTAGAACAGTCCATTGAGACTGAGTATGCTTGGTAGGCCTGGACTGCTGATTTGCCCAGGGTGGAAAAGGCAGAAGAGAAAATTGGGAAGGGAAAAATGGGATGGAGTATCTTGGCTGGCTGCAACTCCGAACAGGGGCACGCCACATTTTGTTGTAGATCCCTCCTGTAAGGATTGTTCAGTGCAGCTATTTCAGGTCTGCATTCTTCAACATGATGCTTTGCCCACACTCTGCTCTTCACGAATTGCAGGCCACTGGTCTTGAAGCGGAGGGGAGACGTTCTGTCTGTGTGTTTCTCCTCTTTCATTCACCAGGAGGCAAATCTTTTAATGCCTCCACCCCAAAAGAGACGGTGGGTGAGATGACTTGGATAAGTGTGTTTTTCCTCTTCAGCCTTCCACAGGCTTTTTCTGTTCATTCTGCCATCTCCAAGTTTTGGTTTCCCAGCAGATCCCCTGCTTGTTTAGTATATACTTCTCTGAATTCTAGTTTCCCACACATGTGCCTGTTCCTCCCTAGTTGAGCAACAGGAAGACTTCACCGGGGCTTTTTTCACAGCTGTTCAAGCTACCTTTGATTCCTCTCTCCTTTACTCTGTACCAAGAACAAGCAACTTCCTGCCCGCAAGCTGGATGTGTCTTCACAGGTGTTCCTGACATGGCTTGCAGGCTTCTCAAGTTATGAGCTCTTACTAGAAATAAGAGCCAGTTCTGAACCCTGGTAGCCTGGGAAATGGTTTCACTGAAGTTTTCTCTGGAGGAGTCAACTCAAGATGTTGTATGTGTTTTGTACACTTGGTAGGGAAAATACTCAAAATAGTAAGAACTATCTGGGCTTCCTTTCCTCGTTGGGCCCTGTGCCTTTCCCTCTGTGCAGTGTGAGAATGCACAGAATCCCCTTACCCTTCTAAAATTGGAGCCTGGTCAAAACCAGTTTTATCCCTGGCACGCTACCTTGTGGCTTCTACTTGCCTCTGTCCCCCAACCCAGGCCTCTCACTCCACTTCAATCCACTGCTTCCTATGATTCCTTTACACAACACTTCCTTATTTTCCCTGTTCTTGACCTCTTCATCTAGGTTCTCAGGACTTAGATTATTCCCACAAAATATGCCTTGTATCCCCAACACAGAGAATATTAGTGAACACTCTAAAACTAGAGCATTGTTCCGGTATTAATATCCTGAAAGTAGAGAGGGTAATAAATGTAATAGGGACATGGAGAACAGATATCCTGTATATCCTGCTCCTGTGCCTCCACCTCCTTTCCTGCATCAACCTGACACAGCAGCAGTTGTCCATGTCTGGATTACATCATGTCTTGATTACTGCAGTGTTCTCCATGTGGGACTACCCTTGAAGATGATGTCTGAGATTTTAATTTGCTTCAACATACAACAGCTAAGGTTGCTAACTGGTGCATGGTCTCATGATTATATGCCCCCAGTAACGGAAGACCTGCAGTTGGTTGCCAGTCACTGACCCATCCCAGTTCAAAGTGTTGGCGTTAACTGTTAAAGCCCTAAACGGCCTGAAGCCTTGAACTGCCTGTCTCATTATGACATTGTCCAGAGACTTAAGATGTTTAGGAGGGATCCTCTTAATAATACCAACAGTTCAGAGGCCCACCTACCAAGCATATGAGAGAGAACATCCCTCCCCCATGGCTTCCAGACTGTGGAATATGCTTCCATCAAAGTTCTAATCTACTTCCACTCAGACTGATTTGAAGAAGGGGAGTAAAATGCATCTTTTTTAGACTGCCATATGATTTTTAGCTTGCCCTTCTGTGTTATTCTTAACTGTACCTTGGTTGATTTAAATAGTTTTAATGCATTTGCTTGATGTTAATGGTTTTTGCAGTAGGGTTGGTTTCATTTAGTTTTATAGCTGAATTTGGTTAAATGTTTCTATTTGGACTATGAGTCCTCCATCATCCTTTTTCTCTGACTGATGGCCTGATGGATTTCAACTGCACTCCTGCTTTTACTTTGTGAGATGGAAACACTATGAACAGTTTGAAAAAAAGAAAGCAGGAAGCTCTTCAGAACAGAATTTTCAGTGGCAGAGAAGGGTGTAGAGCAGGCTAACTATTGTAAATTACATGCATGAAAGTGAGCACCCCCAAACTCTATCTGTTTTATGCTTCAGAGGCTACAGTAACTGAGCCAAACCACTTCTCCATGTAGCCATATTGAGTCTACTCTGACTAGCACAGGTTTCTTGGCAAAGATACTGGAGTGGCTTGCCATTTCCTACTCCAGGTGGATTGCGTTTAGTCGGAACTCTCCACTATGTCCTGTCCGTCTTGGGTGTCCCTGCACGGCATAGCCCATAGCTTCTCTGAGTTACTCAAGCCCCTTCACCACGACAAGGCAGCAATCCATGAAGGAGGTAGAGCAGGCTAACTATTGTAGAGCAGGCTAACTATTGTAAATTACAGTACATGCATGAAAGTGAGCGCCCCCAAACTCTATCTGTTTTATGCATCAGAGGCTACAGTAACTGAGCCAAAGTGCTTCTCCATCTAGCCATATTGAGTCTACTCTGACTAGCAGAGGTTCTCTAGTATTCTCAGGGATCTTTCCCAATATCTGATACCTATTCTTTTAACAGAGGATGGCAGCAATTAAAGCAGAGATTTTCTGTTTGCAAAGCATTTACTCTACTGTCCTTTGATGGTCCTTCTTCTAAAAGCAGGTGGTTTTAAATGTATTTTCTTTCATCTAATTATTCCAAAAAAAATTATTTTATTTCCCTATCTTGCACCACCACAGGTAAACAAACTATGGGTTTTCCACTTCTGACCTTCCCATATCGATCTGATGACAAACTCTACCGGCTTCAGAACCCTCAGAGCCCGTTGGTACGACCCTCCATTTATGATTATTATGACATGGACTCTTACCCAACTGGTACAAATGCAGTTGTTGCAGTGATCTCCTATAGTGGCTATGATATGGAAGATGCAATGGTAAGTGTTTTTTTTGGGGGGGGGGAAGAGATGTTGGAGAAAGAATCAAACAGGAACATCCTTTTCTCAGGTTGAAGCTTTCTAGTTTCACATCTGCAGTCATCAGTGGGAGGGCATGTAACACTCAACCCTCCCTAAAGAGAGTATGAGGTTTGGACAGGGAGTCACTATGAGCGCAAAACTACCACATTTATCTCTGAGGTTGGTCCTCTAGGCCAGCAGTCCCCAACTTTTTTGGGACCGCTGAGCCTCTGAGGAAGGCATTGACTTTGTGTTTCCTTAGACAACTCAACAGCCCTGCAAAGTTGGACCTGTTATCAAATCACCACTGGATTTAGATGTGAGCCCTGCTGTATCAAAGACAAGTCTTCTCTTAAGAAGTATTTGTTTTTATTAAGAAAATAATATAATATATGGTTGTTGTGCAAAAGCATTTAGCATTACATATCCATCTATTTCAATGGTTAAATAAAGCTGCTATTTCTAGATAAAATAATAACCTCTAAAATCTCTAGACAATCATCTTGCTTCTAAGCTGGGCTATTCCCTCCTCCTCCTGGTTTCAAAAAGACAAACCATTTTCCTTTGCTACATCCTGCAAAACATTCTTCGACATACCTGTACACCAACAACAAAGAGAGAACCTCTCACATACGCAAAACAACCCCTGCAAAACATTCTTCGACATACACCAACAACAAAGAGAGAACCTTTCACATACGCGAAACAACAATTTTTCTATATGTCTAAGACCTCCTTCTTCTTGACATTTTCTATATGTCTAAGACCTCCTTCTTCTTAACACTTAGCAGCAGTTATCCAATTAATTGCAAGAATACTTAACACATCAGTTCACCTGTATTTCTCATGAGTCCACAGGTGTTTTTATCTTGTTTCCAATTAAGGCGGTATTCTTCTTTGGTCTCCTCCAGGCCTCTCTCTGGCCTCGTCTTCTTATCTCTGTAACAAGCTCCTCTTGTACCAGGCAACTCCGCAAAAATAATCTCATGCATCCTATTGCTTTTAACTCCTCTTAACAGAACTTAACAGACTCCCATCTACTTTATGTGACTACAAGTCCCACCTTTTCTCAATATCATTACATACCGTATTTTTCTGTTTATAAATGCCCGCTTATAAGACTCCCCCTTTTTTTCTAACTCTAAAATTAAGAAAACTTAGCTTTGAGGATTCAGTCTCTGGGCTTATTAGGCGTCCCTGTTGAATCTGAGCCTACAGGCTCCACCTCCAATGAGGTATGTTCCAATTGGTTTGTTCAGCATCAGCTGACATCAAGTCTGGGACCATCTAAATGTGTGAGATTAGAACTCCTGTCATCAGTTATCCACAGTGGCTGTGATTGCGAAGTTGCACTCAGATCATCTGATTTTTTTCCAGCTTGGGAAAGGCTGTTTTGGTTTTGGGGTTTCAAAATGAACTTCCAACAGTGTTTGTTTCACTGACATATTTCCCACATGCTCTGGAATCAGATGATTTGAACCATGTTGGCACTGCTGCATTTAGGTATTCATTAGACTGAAGTATGTGAATTGTCGTTCTTTAGATCTTGAACAAGGCTTCATGGGAAAGAGGGTTTGGACATGGAAGTATCTACAAGACAGAACGCATTGACTTGGCGGAAAAGATCAAACAAGGAGATGACAATCTGGTATTCGGGATTGGTCGGAATAACACAGCAGTTTTGGAGAATTTGGATCCTGATGGCCTGCCCTATATTGGAGCCAGACTTCAGTATGGGGACCCCTACTATAGCTATCTGAATCTCAATACAGGGGAAAGTTTCGTGACTTACCACAAGTAAGTTCAGAGTGTTGCTATTCCACTACAGTTTGCAATACAAGCTCCTGAAATCGAATGTATAAATTCCTGGATGTTTGCTTTATTAATTCCTTAGGAATCTTCATACTCAAAAGAGTTCTGAAAAAATTGTTTTGAAGGGGTAATGTGATGCAGAGTATAGATCATCACCTAACTTGGAATAGGCTTTTAGAGTGATGATTTTCATCTCTTTCCCATTCTCTAGGAATAAGGAAGTTTGTGTTGTGGATAATATTAAAGTCTGCAGCAATGATACTGGGACTGGAAATTTCAAGTGCGTGTGCATCACGCTGAGAGTGCCCCGGAATCCAACAATTGGGGACAAATTTGCCAGCCGGCACGGCCAGAAAGGCATCTTGAGCCGACTATGGCCAGCTGAGGACATGCCGTTTACTGAAAGTGGGATGGTACCGGACATCCTCTTCAACCCTCACGGTTTTCCGTCCCGAATGACCATCGGCATGCTCATCGAGAGTATGGCGGGCAAGTCTGCAGCGCTGCACGGCCTCTGTCACGACGCCACCCCTTTCACATTTTCCGAGAAGAACCCTGCTGTGGAGTACTTTGGCAAACTGCTGAAGGCGGCTGGCTACAATTACTACGGAACAGAAAGAATGTACAGCGGTGTGTCGGGAGCAGAGCTCGAAGTAGATATTTTCATTGGTGTCGTGTACTACCAGCGCCTGCGGCACATGGTCTCTGACAAGTTCCAGGTGCGGACAACAGGCGCCCGAGATAAAGTGACCAACCAGCCTGTTGGAGGGAGGAATGTTCAGGGCGGCATCCGTTTTGGAGAGATGGAGCGGGATGCTTTGTTAGCTCACGGGACATCCTTCTTGCTCCATGATCGCCTCTTCAACTGTTCTGACCGTTCTGTTACCCATGTGTGTATCGAGTGCGGAAGCCTGCTCTCCCCACTTCTAAAGCCACCGCCTGAATGGTCCACCACACGCATCAGGCAACACATTTGCACGCTGTGCGGCCGGAGCGATACCGTTGAAACCATTGCGGTCCCTTACGTCTTCCGCTGTTTTGTGGCGGAAATGGCTGCCATTAACGTCAAAGTGAAACTTGATGTGAATTAGCCGTACCCTTCATCCTAGATGAGAGTAACCCGTGTTTCTCCTGCAGAACCAATTCAAAAGGGATGAAGACTCATTATGAATTTTTAAATTACATTTAAAAGCAAGGGCAGAATTCTTGCTTAGCACCAAACCACGACATCAGAATTCAAGGACGAATAGGACCCTTCCCTGATTAAATAGCATAGTTTTTGAAGCTTTCTGTAAGTGGTTTGACAGTTAAACTTTTTAAAGGCATATCTGTTCTATGAATGAAGAATCAAAGAGCTTTTCTTCCATGGTGTGGATTTTGGCCATAATGGCTGATGATAACATATATGTCCCGGAGAGATACTGTACTTGAAAACGTTAAGAGGTGACAAAGAGAAGACAGAGGCCTTTGTAACAGAAAATAGACATGTTCCTTAGTGCTGTTCGATTGTTAAAAGGCTGCATTTCCTTGAATAGCTGTGAAAGGTCATGCTAATTTTTTAAGGTGGTAAAAGAGGGTGATCCTCCAGCTGTTTTGCACCGAGTCATTGATAAGGACTTACAGCAGTTGTAGTCCAGAACATCTGGAGGACCCAAGGTTCCCCAACCCTGCCTGAAAGGCTCCGTTTTCCCTTCCACACAGTTGAGGATTACTAACTTTGCCTTGAGTGGAAAGAATATAGCACAGACAAAACCTATGTTTTTTGCTAATTTTTTTCACCCTATGATGAGCACCAGAAAAGATTACCATTGCATCCTGAGGGGAGAGGGTCAAACTATTTTGTTCTACTTGTTTGTTTGTTTTTAAATTTGCTTCGTGCCAACTGTGCCATTACTAAGCTGCAGAAGGATATTTTCATCTCCCTATTTCACACAGCAGCTCTTTATTCTCCGAGTAGACTTTTGTAAAAAGGCTAAGATGGAGATGATGGTTGAAATGCTGTTGGCAGAAATCCGATGGGCGTAAATGGCAATGTTAAACTTTAATTTTAATCTTCCTTTTCCCCCTGTTCCAGGTTCCGAGGCTCCCTTGGGATCCCTTTTATCCTGGGGAAACCTTTGGAAGTCTTGGGACAAGGTGGAGCCTTTAATATCAGGAAAAACTGCTACTGGATCACTGGCTGTGATTTTCTGATATTAAAGGCTCCTCTCCCTCTCCCCCCCCCCAATCCTGAGGCTCCCAAAGGCTTTTCCAGGGCAAATGACCTTTTTAATGACCTTTTTCATTAGAATTTTGTAAAAGATATGACCGTTTTCATTTAAATCATGACTAACACTCTTGGATTTTATTTTGGCTTGATGTTATAGTACTGGGGCTCAAGGTCACCCTAGAGAGTCGGGACTGGAACCTGTTTGCTAGTGAGCCGTGTTCAAAAACTGAACCAACCGTAACCACACTGGCTGTTCAAAAGGGGGCCCAGGCATGCTGACAGCAACAGCAGCAATTCCTACACCCCCTCAAGTGGTCCCTTCTGTTGGGAGGATGGAGCAAAGAGTTTGCTCTAGGTTCCGTCCTAGGCCCCCAGACTTTGCTCCATTAGGTGTGGTGAAGAACATTCTTATTTCAAGTGTTTCAGAAAGCTTCACAAATCAGGCAGGCCAGCTTCAGGGGCCATCTTGGCATTCGCCTTAGGCAGCAAAATGTCCCGGGCATCCAGCAGGCGGTCCACGTGAGCACCTGGGACCAGAAAACCATTTCCCAGGGAAAAGGAGAGCCAGCAGGTGCAGGAATTCTCTCCTACCATCCTTCGTGGTCCTTTTAGCACTTCGGGATATTTGCTTTCTCATCTGTGTAATAAAGCAGGCATCCAGCAGGCGGTCCACGTGAGCACCTGGGACCAGAAAACCATTTCCCAGGGAAAAGGAGAGCCAGCAGGTGCAGGAATTCTCTCCTACCATCCTTCGTGGTCCTTTTAGCACTTGTTTTAAATAAGGGGGAAAACTTTGGACAGGATGGGACAAACACTAGGAGAGAGGAAAAAAGAGGGAAGATCAGGAATTGGATGAGGGGAAGGCCTGCTGAAACATCAGTGTTTTTAATTGATTTTTAAAAATACCCAGCGACTTATTATATATAAAATATTTATAGCACCAAAGACCATGGTAAGATGAAACAGTTACAATCCGTCATACTGACATAAATAACAGTAAAAACAGCTAAAATTATGATAAGACATGATAAATATACATGTGAATTAGGTATGTATATGTCAGTACTTTAGATACCTTTGAAATAATACATTATTTATGAGACAGATTAATCAGTTACCGGTGGTATATGATGGTGATTATATTAAGATACAATGAAATTAGTGAGTTTATCAGGTTACATTCACATATTTTTGGAGATCAGTACTGTTTTTCTTCCAGAGTATCTGTCATAAAGCAGTGACTTAGTTCGCAAGAAGTGGTAAAGATGTCTAGACGAGAAGGTACCCAATCCGCAGAGCTCTATTGTTGTGTGCTGTTAAGTCACCTCCTACTTATGCTGACCCTGTGAATGAGTGATCTACCAAAATGTCCTGTCCTCAACAGCCTTCTCAGCCTTTGTAAACTCAAGGACTGTGGTTTTCTTTAGGAAGTCAGACCATCTCATAGTGGGTCTTCCTCTTTCCCTGCTGTCTTCCACCTTTCCCAGCATTATCTTTTCCAGGTAATCCTGTTTCATGATGTGCCCAAAGTAGGGCAGCCTTAGTTTCAACCTCAGTTTAAGGTTCTATAGCAGTTTGTTAAATACAGGCAAATAAAGCAGTAGAGCACGGTTGCGTCAAGGTCAAGGCCTCCGCTATGCCCTTCACACAGAGTGGCCTCAACTTTGGTGGCAGAGATGCTGCATGTGGACCGCCTGCTGTACGCCCGGGACATTTTGCTGCCTAAGGCGAATGCCAAGATGGCCCCTGAAGCCGGCCTGCCTGATTGGTGAAGCTTTCTGAAATACTTGAAATAAGAATGTTCCTTACCCTAGGACAGAACCTAAAGCAAACTCTTTGCTCCATCCTCCCAACAGAAGGGACCACTTGAGGGGGTGTAGGGGTTGCTGCTGTTGCCGTCAGCATGCCCGGGCCCCCTTTTATAAGTGGCTGCTTACTGGCTCAGCATCAACAGCAGATGCAGTTCTAAGAACTGCCTTTTGTGCCTTTGGTTAAACTGCAATGCATCGGTTACTCAGGTGCATCCTTTCTTTTGCTTACTGCCAGCTGGAGAGCTGCTCTGCGGCTTACGAGAAATCAACAGCCAAGCCTGCCTGAGATAAGGAACATTCAGGGTTTCAACTTTTGGCATTCCTTCCTCCTGTTGGCATGAGGCCGACATCTCATGCTACATTAAATATCCTCAGAAATGCGTCAGAAGAGGGGCCTCAATTACTTGATTAAATATTAAAATGTTTATTTGCTACTTTTCATGGTTTTAAACAGTGCTTTTAGATGTATTCGCAAAGGCTTTTAAACAGTGCTTTTAGATGCTACTTGAAGAATTCGGGGTTACAAAGAAGAATCGTTTGGATTGCGCTGTGATTTTTGAAGAGCTCTGTTCCAACCCACCAAGCATAAAAAAGAGGCCCTTTCAGTTTGTTCCTTGAGATAGTGTGTTTTCACATCAGTGTCTTGATGAGTGTGTGTTTTATAGGGAATACTGAGGAGCAAGGATATTAAAATCTTACAATAATAATCTTAGAACTGCAGAGCTGGAAGGGACCCTATGGATCACCGAGTTCAGCCCCTGTCAAGAAGGCCCTGAGGGGAATCAAACTCCCAACCTCTACCTAAACCATCGAGCTATCCATTTCATCTCTCGTGATGCACAGCTATAAGGGCTGGGGAGCACAGCTGCAGTCTGACAGCATCTGGAGGGCCATCTCTTCACTGTTAATACATTTATTTTCAGGAACAGCAAGAAGCAAACAATGTTCCATCAGCTCATATGATACTTATATCCTGCCCTTTCTCCGAAG